CACGGCATTAGAAAGGTTGAGAACCACTGTTGTAGCACCATCATCTTGGGGTCAGATTTCAATATGAATTTTGGGGTTCGGGGAGAGACACATTCAGACCATAGCTAGACGGGGGCATTTTGGAATCAGTAGAGAGTCCTGCTGGCCAGCTCACATTGTTTGTTCCTTATCACCTCTAGGACAATTGTTTGAGAAGTTTTCTCAAATTCTAATGGTAGCTCATGATCTTTGTGTATAGAGAAAGTTAAATGTGCCTATTATGAACACCTTTACCTACCTTAAGTTAGTCTTAATTTTGACGCAGATTTTATATTCAATAGGAAGGGGGAGTGGAAGGGAAAATTTGAGCATTTATAGTGTGATAGGCTTTGATCAAATATGATTCTCAATGTTTGCCCTATAGATTCATAATTCTCAGAGTCTTGTGAAGTAGTGTTATCCTTATATATTAGTTAACAAATAGTTACATGTGATTAACAAATATTTGAGCACCTACTCTGTGAAGGCATTGGGAAAATGAGTCAAGTTAAATAACTTAAGTAGGGCCAATTCCGCTTGTATGCGGCAGAGCTGTGGTGTAATGGCAAAGGAGGAGGCTGGCTTAAAAGGCAGGGTTCTTTCTGCTGCTGCCCTCCGGAGCACCTGCTCTGTCCTGGCCCAGGATTATATGTGAGGGATGGAGAGATGAAGAGGGCAAGATCCTTCCCCTGTGGTGCTCTTTGCAAAGTGACACAGCCCTGACACCAGAAACTGTTGTGTGTCTAGCTCGTTTAGCTCAGTGGATAGAGTGTCGGCCTATGGAGTGAAGGATTCTGGGTTCAATTCCAGTGAAGTGCACATGCCCAGGTTGCAGGCTCAATCTCCAGTTAGGGGGCCTGCAAGAAGCAGCCAATCAATGATTCTCATCATTGATGTTTCTCTCTCTTTCTCCCTCTCTCTTCCTCTCTGAAATCAATAAAAATATATTAAAAGAGAAAGAAACCATTGTGTACCTTGGATCTTGAATGCTAAAGCTTTCTTCACGTGTGACCTATTTCCTGCATATTCCCTTAGCAGATGTCCTGAGCTTGGCTAGATGTGCAGAGAATAAGGCAATGGTAGACTGAAAAAGCCTTCATAGTGCAGTGCATGGAATGTTGTAACAGCAATATTTGAAGTACCAAGGGTCAAAGGAATGGGTGACAAATCACAGGGCAAGTTCTCGTGGAAGAGGTAACATTTTAGTTCTGGTGGACAAGGAGGAGGAAAGGATATTTCAGGCAACAGGAACAATGTGTGTCCAAAAAGTGTCAGGAAATACTGCTAGTCTGCAGTAGAGGAAAACGATTAGCAAGTTTAGGGTTGAGAGGGTGGGGGTGGCCAGGGAAAGGTCAATGGGGGAAAGGGGAGACATATGTAATATTTTAAACGATAAAGAATTTTTTAAAAAATGAAAAAAGAATTAGTGTGGAGTTTCTTACTAATTGTTTGAGAGGAATTTAGTGCAAGTAAATTGATAGTGCAAGCTGTAGACTGCCTTGGGATAATGGTAAGTCCAGGTCACAAGTGGGGTGTTAGGAGTGCACTGCTTTGGGGATGGTTCTCGGAAGATTTGTGGAGCATTCTTTTTTTTTTTTTTTTCTTTTTCTTTTTTTAATGTGCTCTTTTTTTTTTTTTTTTAATATATTTTATTGATTTTAAAAAATATATATATTTTATTGATTTTGTACAGAGAGGAAGGGAGAGAGATAGAGAGTTAGAAACATCGATGAGAGAGAGTCCTTGATCAGCTGCCTCTTGCACACCCCCCACCGGGGATATGCCCGCAACCAAGGTACATGCCCTTGACTGGAATCGAACCCGGGACCTTTCAGTCTGCAGACCGACGCTCTACCACTGAGCCAAACTGGTTTTGGCTGCTCTTTTTTATTTATTTATTTATTTTTATTAAATTATTATCTGTGTACATATTTTAACATTGCCCCCCCCCAATACATACTCTCCCTCCCCAGAGTTTTGTGTCCATTGGTTGTACTTATATGCATGTATACAAGTCCTTCAGTTGATTTCTTATCTCCCCCAGATTTCCCTACCCTCCCCGCTGTAATTTGACAGTCTGCTTGTTGCTTTACTGTCTCTATATCTTTTGGTTCATCAGTTTATAATGTTTTTATTATCCATAAATGAGTGAGGTCATGTGCTATTTCTCTTTCATTGACTGGCTTATTTCACTCAGCATGATGTTTTCCAATTCTATCCAGGTTGCTGCAAATGATGAGAATTCCTTCTTTTTTATGGCAGCATAGTATTCCATTGTGTAGATGTACCATAGTTTTTTGATCCAGTCATCTGCTGACGGGCACCTAGGCTGTTTCCATATTCTAGCTATTGTAGATTGTGCTGCTATGAACATAGGGGTGCATATATCCTTTCTGATTGGTGTTTCTAGTTTCTTGGGATATATTCCCAGGAGTGTGATTACTGGGTCAAATGGGAGTTCCATTTTCAGTTTTTTGAGGAAACTCCGTACTGTTTGTGGAGCATTCTTACACTAGGCTGGGATTAGACTAGATCTGAGTTTCACAGCAAATTAATATTGTAAGCAAGAAATTTAGCTTATTTCCTGTGGACTCTGGAATGGCTGTATGTGGAGAGGACGAGAAGAAAGGGGCTGAGACTTTACTTGCATCTCTGAGGAGATTGGGGTGAGAGGCTAGGTCTCTTGATTGACCCTGGAACTAAGGTACCTTTCAAAACCAAGGTTTTGATTTGGGGGAAAGAGTTTGCAGAGAACTTCAAGGAGGCTGGGAATATAGTGGAAAGCACACTGCCCTCAGGAGTCAGAAGATTGGTGTTCACTTTTCACAGGGCCCATGGGTTCCTTCACTCTTCGTTGTGGGATTGGGTTATCTGATTTCTGGGGACCTTTCCAATACAAAAATGTTAAACTTATTTTGCCTGGGTGTTTTCTAAAGTATGTGGTAGTCCTTGCTCTTACGGAGCTAGTGTTAGTAGACTGTTCTCTTAGCTCATTCCTTCCTACTGTAGTATGAGGATGCTATCTGATAAATGTGAGAAAGTGAACATTAAGAAATAGCACACTGGGCTTCAGGATTCACCAAAGCTTAGCTGTGCTACCCCGAGACTCTGCCCCATCCAAGTGGAATACAGAAATTCTCCTAGCTAAGACATTTCTGATCCTAATAGCCAATTGGCTTGAGATCAACGATTCCCAGTGATACCAACAACAAGCAAGGCTTAACAACAAGACTGTCCACCTCAGGTAACTGGGAGGCTGACCCACTCAACTATATAGGACACCTTAGCACACAAAGCCACCCTACCAACTCAGGGAAGCTGTGAAAATGCCGAGACAAGGAAACAGATCACAAACAAACAAAAAATGGAGGACAAAAAGTGACTGATATAGAATTCAAAACCACACTTATAAGGTTTTTCAAGAGTTTCCTAGAAAAGGCCGATAAAATAAACGAGATCTATGAGGATATGAAAAGAGATCAACTAGAAATAAAGAATACATTGTCTGAAATAAAAAATATTATACAGAGTCCTAAAAACAGAATGGAAGATTGCAAGAATCAAGTCAAAGATTTGGAACACAAAGAGCCAGAAGACACTCCACAGAAGCAAGAAGATAAGAGAATCCAGAAAGTTGAAGATAGTATAAGAAACCTCTGGGACAATTTCAAACGAACCAACATCAGAATTATGGGGGTCCCAGAAGATGAGAGAGAGCAAGATACCTAAAGAATACTGGAAAAAATAGTTACAGAAAACTTCCCCCACTTGGGGAAAGAATTAGACTTACAAGTCCAGGAAGCACACAGAACCCCAAACAAAAGGAATCCAAAGAGGACCACACTAAGACACATCATAATTAAAATTCCAAGAGCAAAAGACAAAGAGAATATTAAAAGCAGCAAGAGAGAAATGGGTAGTTACCTATAAAGGAACACCCATACAATTGTCAGCTGATTTCTCAACAGAAACCATGCAGGCCAGATGAGAATGGCAAGAAATATTCAAGGTGATGAATAGCAAGAACCTACAGCCAAAAATAATCTACCCAGCAAAGCTATCACTCAGAATCGAAGGCCAGATAAAGAGCTTCACTAATAAAAAAAAGCTAAAGGAGTTCATCACTGCCAAACCAAAATTATATGAATTGCTGAAAGGGATTCTTTAGGAAGAGAAATAAGATATAGATAAAAATTATGATCAACAAATACATATCTATCAACAAGTGAAACTAAAAGCCAAGGGAATTAAAAAACTTGAACAATATTAACTGTTGAATATAATAGAATCAGAGGTATGGAAGGGAAGTAAACTGACAATTCTTGGGGAAGATGGAGTGGGGTGTGCGGGAAGAGCCTGAACAAAAACTGCACCTATGGATGAGGACAATGGGTGTGTGGAAAGGGCAGAGGGTGGGGTGGGAACCTGGTGGAGGGGAGCAATGGAGGGAGAAAAAAATGAGGAACATTTATAATAATATGAAGAATAAAGATTTATTTAAAAAAAAGAAAAGAAAAAAGAAATAGCACACTGGTGTGGCTCAGTTGGAGTGTCAATCTGTGCACCAATAGGTGACAAGTTCAATTCCCAGTCAGGGCACGTACCCGGGTTTGAACCCTGGTTGGAGTGTGTATGGGAGGTAACCAATTGATATTTCACACTCACATTAATTTTCCTTCATTCCCCCTCCTCTTTTCCCTTCCCCTCCCATTAATATAAAAGCATGTCCTCTCCCTCTCCTCTTCCCCTTCCCATCAATATAAAAGCATGTCCTTGAGTAAGGATTAAAAAAAGAGAAAAAAAGAAAAAGGAAACAGTGGCAGTTCAGTCCCTTTTACAATGGGTGGATGGAAACCATCACTTGAAGAGAATCTTTGCCTTGGCCACTATCACGTTCCCTTTGATTGATGGAGTGCCACTGGTGTTTAATTTGCCAAGTGCTGCATGTATGAACCCATCTTTTCATGATCTGTGTTTTCCAGGTTAATTCCAAAGATAATTCTCGTAATTCCACGAATTCTGAGTTTGCAGCTGAAGCAGAGGGTCAAAATGAGAAAATTGAGGAACCAGGCAAGGTTCAGAAAAAGAAGAGGGATAGACCTCGAGACCAAGGCTCTACCATGATCTACCTGAAGGCCATCCAGGGCATCCTGGGGAAGTCGGTGCCAAAAAAGAAGGGCGAGTCTGCCACTATGGCAAAACCAGACACAGCAGACCATCCCAACCATGGAGAGGGTCCCGCCAGGAGCGGCACGGAGTCTCCTCTGAAAGAGGAGTTGGCAACCCCAGAGGTCAGAGAGAAAGAGGAAAAAGAGGCTGTGCTGGAGAGAAGCAGCTTCTGTGACAGGAGGGTGGTGGTAGACCCTCAGGAGAAACCCAGCGAGGAGCCACTTGGTGACCGAAGGACAATTGTTGACAAGTGCTCTCCACCCCTAGAATTTTTGGATGACTCAGACTCTCATTCAGAAAGCCAAAAGGTGAGTCTTGAGCATGGCGTTTTTAGTGCTCTTGATTAAATGTAGTATTTGTTCTTTCTGGTTTGAGCCTAAGTGTTATTCATTAAAACAGTGCTTTACTTAGGATTCCAGGCAACAAATTGATGGTTCTCTTCTAAAATACCTTTCCTAGTTATTAAAAATCTGATTGGTGCCATCTTTTTTATTTTATTTTATTTTATTTTATTTTATTTTATTTTATTTTATTTTATTTTATTTTATTTTATTTTTATATGTTTGTTAGGATATAGATTTGCCAGCTGTACAAAAACCAAAATAACAGTGGCTTACCATTAAATAGAAGTTTGGCTTGAGGAGGATGACTCCTCTTTATCAGGGGCCCTGGTACCTTCTGTCTTGATGCTCTGCTGCTCCTCAGCAGTTTCCTTCCTGTGGTCTGAGATGACTGTTCTGACAGGACTCAGTACATTACATTGATCAGTCCAGCCAATAGGAAGAATAGAAGAAGAAAGTGCATTCCTCCCTTTTTTTTTTTTTTTTTTTTTTAAAATATATTTTATTGATTTTTCACAGAGAGGAAGAGAGAGGGATAGAGAGCTAGAAACATCGATGAGAGAGAATCATCGATCAGCTGCCTCTTGCACACCCCCTACTGGGGACGTGCCCGCAACCAAGGTACATGCCCTTGACCGGAATTGAACCCGGGACCTTTCAGTTCGCAGGCCGACGCTTCATCCACTGAGCCAAACCAGTTCCTGCCTCCCTCCCTTTTAAGAGATTGGCTCAGAAGTTGTCCACATAGTGTCTGCCTCATATCTATTGACAAAAATCTAGGTATCTGGCCAACACCTAACTGCAAGAGAGTCTGAAAAATTAGCTTCCATTTGGGCAGACTTACACCCAGATAAACTTTCATGGCTGTTCAGAAGAGAGTGAGCCTTGGCTGGGTGGCTCAGTTAGTTGGAGCGTTGTCCTATACACCAAAAGGTTTCGGGTTCACTTCCGAAAGGGCATATTCTTCTTTTTTTTTTTTAATCTTTATTCATATTATTACAAAGGTTCCTCATTTCTTCCCCCTTCCACCAAGTTCCCACCCCACCCTCCGCCTCCTCCCACCCCCCATTGTCCTCATCCATAGGTGCACAGTTTATGTTCAGTCTCTTCCTCCCTTCCTTTCCCCGGGAACAGTCAGTCCACTCCCCTCCCATATCGCCGACTCTACTACAATGAACCGCTATTATTGTTCATCAGGTTTTTTAATCTCCTTTTTTTGTTGTTGTTGTTTTTTTTTTAATTAATAAATTTTTACACTTCTAAAAATGTAAACTTTTACATTTTTAGTAAATTTTAAAATCTAATAATTTTACGCTGAGACCGGTTTGGTTCAATGGATAGAGCATCGGCTTGGGGGCTGAAGGGTCCTGGGTTCGATTCCGGTCAAGGGCATGTACCTTGGTTGCGGGCATATCCCTAGTAGGGGGTGTGCAAGAGGCAGCTGATCGATGACTCTCTCTCATCGATGTTTCTAACTCTCCATCTTTCTCCCTTCCTCTGTACAAAATCAATAAAATATATTAAAAAAATAATAAAATTAATAATTTTAAACCTTGTTTTTTTTCTACCCTGGGAATTGAGAGCAAACTTGTTTATATATAATCTTGCCCTTAGGCTATCAAAAGGTGTAGCCATTCAAGTGTAAATGGACACATTATTTAAACATAGCTGCTGGTTAGAATTGGATTACCTGTTCTGGGTGGGAAGGGCTTGTCATTCCCTTTCTCCATTAAAATTAAGATGTTAGCTTTAAAACCTCGTTTTGGCAAGAGACCTTAAACTTTCAGAACTTTAAATTTTTTAAATAGTAAATCAGTTACTTAGCATTTTCTCAAATCAATAATACCTTCACACAAAAGACATTTCCAAGTAGATCAACCAACCTCATCCAGGCCCCACACAAGGCACTCACAGATCAACACCCCAGCACTATACTAATTTAACACATCCAGATCTAAGCCTTCTTCATTTGATTCAGCAGACCCTCAAGTTCCCCCAAAAGTTTCCAGCCATGTCTGAGAGGCAGCCTTGGGGCGGAGGCAGGCGAGGAGCAAGCTGTTCCGGGCCTGGCTGCTCAGGGCCTGGCCTCTGTTGCTTTGGTCTGTTCCACAACAAGCTGCTCCGGATCTGGCCACTGCTGCTCCTGACCTGGCTGCTCTAGGCCCGGCCGCTCTAGGCCTGGCAGCTGCTGCTCTGTGCCTGGCCTCATTTGACCTGGCTGCTCCGGGCCTGGCTGCTTTGGGCCTGGCTGCTTTGGGCCTGGCTGCTTTGGGCCTGGCTGCTCTGGGCCTGGCCGCTCTGGGCCTGGCCGCTCCCAGCCTGGCAGCTGCTGCTCCGGCCCTGGCTGCACCCGACCCGGCTGCTCTGGGCCCGGCTGCTCCGGGCCCGGCCGCTCTGGGCAGGGCATATTCTTAAGTTGCAAGTTTGATCTTCAGGTTGTGGGTTTAATTCTTAGGTTGGGGTATGTATGGGAGGCAACCCATTGATATTCCTCTCACATTGATGTTTCTTTCTTCTGCTCTAAAAATCAATGAAAACATATCCTTAGGTGAGGATTTAAAAAGAAAGGCCCTGGCTGTTGTGGCTCGGTTGGTTGAAGTATGGTCCCAGGCTTTGGAAGGTCATAGGTTCGATTCCTTGCAGGGCACTTACCTAGGTTGTGGATTTGATCCTCAGTCAGGCATTGAAGTTTCTCTCCCCCCCTTCCTCTCTCTAAAAATAACAACAACAAAGAAGCAAACAAAAAAATACAACTGTGGTTTTCAAAAGCCCTCTAGAGATTCTAATGTGAAGCTAAGTTCAGGAACCGTTGTACACAACATTTATCTTGAAACTAATTCAACAAATATTTATGAACATTCACTATGTACTAGACACACTGTTCTAGCTATTTGGCAGACATCAGTGAAGAAAATTAAAACACCTAACCTTGTGGCTCTTAGGTTCTAGCAAGCTTGATTTAATGCAGTGTGTAATAGTTTTGGTCACTATGGCACCTCGTAATGTAAAATAACCATTTTATTTTGCTCTCACTTTTGTGAGTCAGGAATTTAGAAAAGTCCAGACTGGGCATATCTTGCTTTTGGTGTCGAGAGGGCATCTGTTATGTGTTTTCATTCATATATTGGGAATGCCTGCAGTCTGAAAGCTCAACAAGACTTGACATCCAAAATGTTCACACACGCACATACACACACACACAAAAAAAGGTTCACTCACACATTGGGCAGTTGATGCTGGTACCTATGTATGACCTTTCTAGCAGTGGTCTTGGGCAGTATGATATGATTTCTTACATGGTGATTGGCTTCCCCCAGAGGAGCAAGCTGAAAGAACCAGGGGAAGCTACAGCTTGATCTATCCTTGGAAATTACGCAGTTTCACTACTGCACTCCGTTGGTTGCAAGTAAATCAGTAAGTAGGTTGGACCAGGTTCAAGGACAGACCACCATCTTTCTTTGGGGAGTAGTGTCAGAATTTGCAGACACATCTTAAAACTGCCACAACTGAAATCATGACCAGGTAGCTCAGTTTTGGTTAGAGCATCGTCCTGATATGCCAAGGTTTCAGGTTTGATCTTTAGTCAAGGACATATAAGAATCAACCAATAAATGCATAAATAAGTGGAACAACAGGTTGATTTTTTTTCTCTCTCCCTTTTTCTCTCTCAAATCAATTAAAACATGTTAAAAACAAGCAAATGCAAAAATGGCTCCAGTTAGTTGGAGTGTTGTCTTATAGGTCAAAAGGTGGTAGGTTTAATCCCTGGTCGGCACATTTCGGTTCAGCTGTGTGGTTTTGCATTTTGATGTATTAGAAACATTGTTAGAGGTGAGATTCCTGGCACTGCTTTTTTCTAATATCCCCAATACCCACAGCAGTTTTTCTTAAGAGAGAGAGTGCTGATATAGCATCCCTTTAGGCATGGCCTTATGAGTTTATCCCTGATTTGACTGTTCATAGCTATAGTTTGGCTCACTTTCTGGAAATAATAAGAAACCTAGGTGACAGGTAAGTTAAAGGAACCCATGCAAAGCTTTCACCATGGCCAAAAAGCAAGCCAGAGCTTGTTATGTAGATGACAGAGTGCGGGAGGCTGTCTTCACGCAGGAAGGCTAACCCTTTGTTGCTTCTTTTCTGCAGCCTCAAGAAAGGGAGGTGGTGATAGAGCACATCTCCTCAGGAAGTGACTGGTCCGACGTGGACGAGGTCTCCACAGTCAGATTCTCTCAGGAGGAGCCCATCTCACTGAAACCCCCAGCAGTTCCGGAGCCTTCTGCCTTCCCCACTGACTATGTCATGTACCCGGCTCACTTGTACAGTAGTCCTTGGTGTGATTTTGCCAGCTATTGGGCCAACACTCGCAAGCCTTCTAGCTACTCCTCCATGGGCATCAGCAGCAGTGACACGTTGCAGGCTGGGAAGAGCAGCAGCTGGGGCTTCCTGAGTGATTATTCCTCCAACTCTGCAGTGAGCTCCCAAAACACCTCTAGAAATTGGGAGGCGGCAGAGGAAGGCAGATCCCAGAATTCTCGCTCATACCATTACTCCAGAAGCTCACAAGAAAAGGTGAAGGAGAAAAGAACATTCCAGGAGGAGCCGCCACCCCGTTCTTATGAAGGACATGCCTCTAGCTCTCTGCCAAGGAGCCATATAGAGCCAAACATAGAGGCGGGTTTCATTGATACCCATTGTCACTTGGACATGCTCTATTCCAAGTTGGCTTTCCAAGGGACCTTCAGCAAGTTCAGGAGAATTTATAGCACCTCCTTCCCTAAGGAATTTCAGGGCTGCATCTCTGACTTCTGTGATCCCAGGACACTGACAGATACCCTATGGGAGGATTTGTTGAAAGAGGATCTGGTTTGGGGGGCCTTTGGCTGTCACCCTCATTTTGCTCGTTACTACAATGAGAGTCAAGAAAGAAATCTTTTGCAAGCCTTAAGGCATCCCAAGGCCGTGGCATTTGGGGAAATGGGCTTGGATTACTCCTATAAATGCACCACACCTGTCCCTGAACAGCACAAGGTAATGGGGTTCTCTTTAGTTTGCTAGTAATTTTGTGTGTTTTTTGTTGTTGTTTTTTTAAGGTTCTTAGTTTATTAATCCTCTCATGAAAAATCTGTATAGATAAAGCCAATGAAGAATCTTTGCTCATTTTTGCCAGCACCAACATTAGCCTTTGCAGTTCCCCTGACTTTCTTCTGTTCTGTTTTTGAAGTCTTTTATGGGCTTTTCTTGCAAACCTAATGTTTGGGTTCTTCCCCCCCCCATAATACAAGGAATCATAAATCATGTCAAAGCCACTTGTCTTGCCACCACCAAAGTGGGTTTTGAATCCAAATACAAAGATGATATTTGTGATCTTAGATATTTTGACTAGTTTTCCCCAATTTCTGTCTTAAGTACTGCTGCCTTCCTGGGGTGAAGAATGTAGTGACCATTCGTTTACACTAAAGTAGTTTATTGGTCATGGACTTCCTGATTTGATAGTTACTATGTTTTGATGGCTACCCACTTGCTTACAATTTTAATTAATTTAAATCCGTACCCCAGGATACGTTTTATTGATTTTTTAGAGAGGAAGGGGAAGGGAGAGAGCAGAGAGAGAGAGAGAGACATCAATGTGAGAGAAAAAACATTGATCAGTTGACTCCCATACTTGCCCTCACTGGGGATCGAAGCCATAACAGGTATGTGCCCTGACAACGCCCAATCAACTGAGCCACCTGGCCAGGGCCACTTGTTTACAGTGTTAATTCCTCTTTTTGTTGTTGAAATAAATCTAACCATTGGGTTTTTCTACTTGGGGGGAGTTTCCTATTTTTAGAACTAAAGAATTAAGAATTTCTAAAAATGTAATTGGTCTTATCCAGACCATCTATATGTCATTTCTCAAATTCTTCACAAGCTATTTCTTTCAGCTTTATTATAAGGGGAAAGTGTTAGGTACTTTGTGACTTTTTATGACTAATGATATGTATAAAAACATTTTCTTTCTCGGGAAGCACCAAATTTTGTTTAATTTTTATTCTGATTTTATTTTATTTTATTTTATTTTATTTTTTTTTTTAAATATATTTTATTGATTTTGTACAGAGTGGAAGTGAGAGAGATAGAGAGTTAGAAACATCGATGAGAGAGAGTCATCGATCAGCTGCCTCTTGCACACCCCCTACCGGGGATATGCCCGCAACTAAGGTACATGCCCTTGACCGGAATCGAACCCGGGTCCCTTCAGTCCCCAAGCCGACGCTCTTTCCATTGAGCCAAACCGGTCTCGGCTAATTTTTATTCTGATTTTAAAGTTAAGTATGCCCATCTTAGAATAATTGGAAAATACAAAAATTTATAAAGGTGATCATTTCCCATTCCATTAGAGATAACAACTATTACCATCTTAATATTTTTTTCTCCCAATATCTTTTTAGCATGGAGATTTGGCACGGAATGAGTAGTTTCTGATTTAGGTAGGAGCAGGACAAGGAGAAAGACCCTCACAGTATCATGTTGTCAGGTTGAATTTGTTGTGTGCTGTCTTTCACTTGATGCCTATTAATTCTGGGTCTGCATGCCCAATATGCTCAGGCGTTGGTGAGCATGTATGGATTCCAGCCTGGGCAAATTTGGTACCAGTTTTCTCTTTAGTGCTGTCCCCAATCCAACTGGGGTGTCCTCAGCAGTGCACTGATGTGCGCCATTGATACTGGCATCTGTGGATAACTGTGTGAATTAAAAGAAGGAATTTTCAGAGTCAGTGGTTTCTTATTTTTTCCTTCGATCAAAAAGAAAAAATTCAAGGAAGGTATAGTGCCCTTCTGCTCTAGCAGAAGACTCTAGACCCGTAGTCAGCAAACTGCGGCTCGCGAGCCACATGCGGCTCTTAGGCCCCTTGCGTGTTGCTCTTCCACAAAATACCATGGTCTGGGCGAGTCTATTTTGAAGAAGTTGCATTAGAAGAAATTTAAGTTTAAAAAATTTAGCTCTCAAAAGAAATTTCAATCGTACTGTTGATATTTTGCTCTGTTGACTAATGAGTTTGACGACCACTGCTCTAGACTTTGTACACTTTTAGGAGATAGAGATTCCAGTTTGAATACAGTTGTCCATGCAGCCATAAGCATGCCAGGCTTAACAGTTAATTTCTATAAGAAACAACTTCAGATGTTTCTCAAGGATTTTTTTTAGATGAATTTGCTAGAACCTATTAAGTTTATTAAATTCTGAGCAGCATGATTTTGACTTGATCTGCATTCAGACAGGTGAGTGAGTTTATGTGTGTGAATGTTTTCAGTTTTTTACTTGAATGGATTTCTAGTATAGTGTTTCAATTCAGAATTAGGTTTGTCTTGTACATTCAAATAATCTCTTGCCCAAGTTCCCTTTTGTTACTAACACTAGGACGTTTACAATTTCTGACTTGAGGCAGTGATTTATTAGCCAAAAATGAATGGAACAATAGCTAAAACTGAAAATAGGAAGAATAGATTTTTAAGAAAGTGAGACAAATATTTACTATTCTGCTTTCCCAATTCGTTTCTATGGCACAAGGCAGGTGTGGTACGGAAAGAAGATCACAGTTCGGAAATGTGTACACTGAGGTGACTGGAGAGAGGAGGAGGAGCATTATATTCAACTAGAGGCCTGGGAGCCCTCAGGGAATGCCCGAGGGGAGTGGGCCTAAGCCATCAGTCAGACATCCTGAGTGCTACCTTGGAGGTGGGAGAGGCTTCTGCCACCACCACTGCACTCACCAGCTGTGAGCTCCCGGCTCCTGTGGGAGCTCACTGACCACCAGGGAGCAGCTCCTGTGTTGAGCTTCTGCCCCATGGTCATTGCACGTCATAGCCATTTGGTCATTCTGCCATTTGGTCGATTTGCATATTAGCCTTTTATTATATAGGATTGTATAGCTGATGTTTATTGAATGCCTGCTATGTGCCAGGAAATGTGCTAAGTATTTCACAATAACTTTTCCTTTTATTAAATCATTGAGTTATCAAATCTGCATATAGAGCTATCTAGGGCATGCTGACTGAACTTGAAGTTATAGAGTGATAAATAGAATCTTGCAAGTATCATTTGGCTTGGTGAAATTGGATTCAAGACTGGAAAATGGTAATTCAAGGAAGTAAATTGTTGGCAGGGGTAGGGCTGAACTGTGTGTAGAAGAGAGGAAGATAAGATATTTCTATACAGCTTTATGGGAAGAGGATGCCATGTTCTTGATGTGAATCTAAACTTGGACACCAAAATTAGAAGTGTACCCGAAACCGGTTTGGCTCAGTGGTAGAGTGTCGGTCTGTGGACTGAAGGGTCCCGGGTTCGATTCCGGTCAGGGGCATGTATGTTGATTTCGGGCACATCCCTGGTAGGGGGTGTGCAAGAGGCAGCTGGTTGATATTTCTCTCTCATCGATGTTTCTAGCTCTCTCTCTCTTTTCCTTAAAAAAAATCAATAATATATATATTTTTTTAAAAATTAGAAGTGTATTAGTTGAATGTTGGCATTGAGTTGCATTTGCCTACAAGCAGAGTAGTTGGCAAGTTCTTGGCGTGTCCTGCTGAATATTTTATCTGGGAAGGGAAGAAGAAAAGCCTATGGAAGGACTGTATCTAGCCAAGTAAGAGGGTGCTAGCTAGCTAGGTCTGGTTTCTTTACCTAATATATTCCAGAAAGATTGGAAAGTAGAGGAAAGCAAAAGAATGGGGGAGGGGAGGATACTAATTATTCTGCTATCCAGAGCAAACCATAGTTAACTTTTCCTTGCTATGTATGTGCATAAATTTAACTGTTTACTGGCCTATTTAATTCCAAAGAGTTAGTTAGGTCCTGGATAGTTTGTGTGTGAGTTGCATATATCAGCCAATATGTTTACCAGACTCCCTTGGTTTCTGGAGTTGGAAAGCCAGGGTGAATAGTTTCTCTCTCCCCTCTTGGGCAGAGCAGGCTGAACTAGATTGCTTGTCTGTATTTGTGTTTGACTGGAATGAAGTATTGAGGTAATCATTATGCAAGAGCTGCCCGGAGGGCCACCCCCAAGAGAGACTGATTAACTATGGAATCCCTGGAAATAATGGATCTGTGGGAACCTGATTATGCAAGCAGAAGAGAGTAATTATGCTGGGTAAATAATTTATTTGCACTTCATTCACTCCTGATTTTTTATTCAGCAAGGTTTCTGGTGAGGACAATGCTCAATATTTTCCAGCCCAGCCACCAGCTCCTGCCTACTAGCAATTCTTCCATCTTAACTAACATCTGTGAAATGCAGATGTGTTTTACAAAAGGTTATTTATATATTTTTAATCCTCATTTGAAGGTATGTTTTTATTTTATTTATTTTTTAGAGAGAGAAAGAAATATCCATTGATCTGTTGCCTCCCATATGTGCTCGTACCAGTGATCAAACCCAAAACCTGGGTATGTGTCCTGACCAGGAATCTTAACAGTGACCCGTCAGTGTATGGGATGATGCTCCAAACAGCTGAGCCACCTGGCCAGGGCTAAGCATTATATTTTAAATACCATTGTCCTTTGGAGAATCGCAAGGGAAAATTGGTGGCATGTTTTATAAGCACTTGTCATAGAATCAAGGAAATATGTGTTATATGTAAATACATGCTTTTTAAAAAAGAAATTAGGCAAAAAAAATCTGTTTGAAATGTAAAAAAAATATGTATTTTTTTTTCCTTTTAAAATAAATTTTTATTGATTTCAGAGAGGGAGAGAAATGTAGAAAGATCAGTGATAAGAGAGAATCATTGATCAGCTGCTTTCTACATGTACCACTCTGGGGATTGAGCCTGTAACCCGGGCATGTGCCCTGACTAGGAATCGAACCATACCTCCTGGTTTATGTATTGATGTTCAACCAATGGAACTGCTGCCCTGGCGAAAGTAATCATTTTGAATGTGTTCTGTTTCATTAAATATACTTTGAAAAATATGCTTTTTTTACCAGCTGTGTTATAGTCCACCCAAAGAACTGTACTATTTAACTGCCCTACAGAATAATATTTTTATAAGCGGGAATTAAACGTTGGAATTATAATCTCTTGCAACCGCAGGTCTCTGTACGGGTTAACGGAAGGCTGATGGGTTCAGGAGGTCATCCAGCCAGCTACCAAGCATTCTGGGAGCCCCTACCAAGCATTCTGTGATTTTGGTTGTTTTGGTCATTTTTCTTTAGTTGAAAATAATAGGTTAAACAAGAGTTACATTAGAATTGGTACTGGCTCAATGCTTCTGTTATGAGAAGAGGTAGCACAAGTGTTAGACTAAAAAATGTCATTCTCAAGTGAATGTCACCTAATTCAAATTACCAAAAGCATCTTATTTATGTAAAAAATACAAAATGAATTATATTCCATAATTGAAGAAACTACTTATGAAAACATTAAGTTTAAGATGAGATAATTTGCTGAAACCAGTTTGGCTCAATGGATAGCCTGCGGACTCAAGGGTCTCTGGTTTGATTCCGGTCAAGGGCATGTACCTGGGTTGCGGACACATCCCCAGTAGGGGGTGTGCAAGAGGCAGCTGATCAATGTTACTCTCTCATCAATGTTTCTGGCTTTCTATCCCTCTCCCTTCCTCTCTGTAAAAAAATCAATAAAATATATTTTTTAAAAAAAGTCCCAAACTTATTTAAAAAAAAGAAAAAGAAAAAAGATGAGATAATTTGTTTATAATGAATTAATACTTTTGTTCTAAACCTGGACTTGAGGAAAAATTAAGGTCTAGCCCTACTTTTCCATTGAAATCATTAACATTATGTATATTTCATTAATGAAGATTTAAAAACAGCTAGAGTTTTATAAAAAGAGTATATCATATCTGGAAGAATATGTTTTGGTTGAGTAAAGAAAATATGTCTAGTGTTTATCTGAAAGCCAGATAGTGATATTGAGTATGTATAGGAAAAGGTGTAGAAGGTAATTACTTTTTGGGAGTAGAGCTGGGGAGAATGAGGGGAAGAACATTTAGCTTGTATTTTCTGTTCTTGAGCCCCATTCTGCCCCTGCAACCCCAAATAAGCCTTGCATAGAGGTTGCTTTGTGAACTTTCTGGGTTCAGATTGGGCAGCACTACAGCTTCTCGGCTGCAAGTTACTTGATTTCACTTGGAGCCTTGGTTCCTTGTACTACAGGATGGGCTAAGAGCAATACTTAACTTAGGGTGCTTGTGAGGGATATGATATAGATCATAATGTACCTAAAGTGCTTTGAGTACTACCTGGCTCTTTATTAAGACCCAGTACGTCTTATCTGTTACTGTACGTTGTAGTTTAAAAACACAGAGTTGGAGACAGTGGAGCTGGCCATTGGACTAAGTGTTCTGGAGGTAACAGACTTCTGAAAAGGCTCTAACCTGCATCTATTGTCACTTTGTTTCTCCCAGGTGTTTGAGAGACAGCTGCGCCTGGCTGTGTCTCTAAGGAAACCTTTGGTGATTCACTGCCGAGAAGCTGATGAAGATCTGCTGAGCATCATGAAAAAATTTGTGCCCTCAGACTACAAGATCCATAGGTTAGGGGGAGCTTCAGTGGGCAAATTAAATGAATGCTTCCTTTGTCTACGCTGTTAGTTGGAAAAACAAACTTAATAGGAAAATATGGATATTATTAGGTTTTTATGTAGTATCTTTAGTAAATATTAGATTAAACCATATGAAATTTCTGTTATTTAACCATTTTTTACTTACAAAACTGCAATTTCATATGGTTTGAGCTAATACCCTAAATCATTAATGAGCAAAGAAGGGGGCTTTTGTGACCTCTGTCCTGATGGCAGGTGAGAATGGAGCCTCAGTTTTGAGAAACGAGGGCTATTGATTTTGGGAAAGACTGCTGTCATGTCCAATGACTTAGCACACAGAAGATTCCCGAGCATCTGGAAAAAATTTTTCTTTCCTTTTTTAAAATTAATTAATTTTATTTTATTGATATTTTACAGAGAGGAAGAGAGAGGGATAGAGAGTTAGAAACATCAATGAGAGAGAATCATCGATCAACTGCCTCTTGCACACTCCCCACTGGGGATGTGCCCGCAACCAAGGTACATGCCCCCAACCAGAATCGAACCTGGGACCTTTCAGTCCGCAGGCCGACGCTCTATCCACTGAGCCAAAATGGTTTCGGCTCTTTCCTTTTTTGAATTTGAAAGCTCATTGAAGTGCGGGATGTGAATAGTATCTAGAGGTTCTTAGGTTCACTTTGACATACTCTCTGATCTTTTACTGTGAACTTGTCCTGGCTGTTAATTCAGCTGTGGGAGACAGGCGAGTCAGCTGGTTACTTCTCTACTGTAGAGAAGGGTGGGTTTGAGGTGGGCATATGGTACTGTGAGAGCCTGAGCGGGGCCATTGGCTAAGCCTGGCTCTAAAGGGATCAGGAGGCAATGCCTGGGCTGTTTCTGTTAAGACGGGTGTGATGAGTTAACTGAGAAAAGCGGGGAGTCTAGAAGCCAAACCAGATCTTGACAGGTGATGGAAATGGGGTAGGCCTGTTAGGCCTCTGAGCTGCTGCCTTTTGGGGTCTAAGCAGAGAGTGAAGCCTCTGACTGGGGGCACACATCAGAGACGAAGCAGTCACTCGGCCCTTCTGGCTGGTTTGTTGGGTTTTCATTGCTTCATTTTGGGCTAACTATAAAGGAATTCTAAAGACTGGTTGTAGGTTGAAGGAGGCTAGGATGGTCCAACAAGATGTTGTGGCTAGAGGAAGGCCTGAATTTCCAGATTGAGATATATATCTTCTGTCTAATAAAAGAGTAATATGCAAATTAACAATCACCCTGCCCATGCCTACCAGCCAATCAATGGTTTGAGAGTATGCAAATCAAACCAACCAAATGGCTGAGGCCACGGAGCGAGCAGGAGGCTTGGGTTTCCCCAGCAATGGAGGAAGCCAAGCTTTCTGCACACCTTGGCCAGCCCAGGTCTCCACTCAAGGCTACAAGTTTCTATTATAGGAGATAAATAAATCCCAATGAAAATGGAGAGAGCAGGAGGCTTGGGTTGCTCCCAGCGATGGAAGAAGTAAGCTCCCGTAGCCCTGGCCTGCCTTAGCTACAAAATTTGAATTATAGAAGATAAATAAATCTCAACAAAAATGGCTGTGGCCACAGAGCAAGCAGGAGTCTTGAATCTGCTCAAAGCTACAAGTTTCAATTATAGAAGATAAATAAATCCCAGATACCAGGGTCTCCGCTTGGGTCGCTGGGGGTGTGTGGCTGGCATGCAAACCATCACAGGCCCCTCGCCCAGGCTGCCCCATGCCCCAAAGGAACCTCCACCCTGATCCAGGACACCCTTCAAGGCAAACCAGCTGGCCTCTATATTACTCTAAAAGAGTAATTTGCAAATTAACCATCACTCCAACAGACATGATGGCTGCCCCCGTGTGGACACAAGATGGTCACCACAAGATGGCCAGCAGGGGAGGGCAGTTGTGGGTGATCAGGCCAGCAGGGTAGGACAGTTGTGGGGGACCAGGCCTGCAAGGGAGGGCAGTTGGGGGTAATGGGGCCTGCAGGCGAGAGCAGTTGGGAGGACCAGGCCTGCAGAGGATGGCAGTTAGGGGGGACCAGGCCTGCAGAGGCTGGCAGGGGAGCAGTTAGGCATCTATCAGGCTGGCAGAGGAGTGGTCAGAGTGTGATCAAGCCGGGAGGCAGAAGTGGTTAGGGGCAATCAGGCAGAGGCAGATGAGCAGTTGGGAGCCTGGATTGTGAGAGGGGTTCCAGATTGGAGAGGGTGCATGCTAGGCTGAGGGACACCCTCCCCCCCTGCACGAATTTTGTGCGCGCGCGTGTGCACACACACACACACACACACACACACACACACACGCACATATTTATTATAATAGATACCTGGTGCACGAAATTCATCCTGGCCTGCACCCTCTCACAGTCCGGGAGCCCTTGGTGTCTCTGTGGGGAGCATGCCTAAGCCATCAGTCAAACATCCTTCGTGCTGCTGTGGAGGTGGGAGAGGAGAGGCTCCTGTGCTCGAGAGCCGTGAGCCTGGCTTCTAGCTGAGCTGTACTCCCCTGGTGGTCAGTGCACATCATAGCACTGGTCATTCTGCTGTTTGATTGATTTCCATAGTAGTCTTTTATTACATAGGATAGGATTATATTATATTTATATTTATATTATATTATGAACATGGAACATGAACAGCCTTCAAAATAAGAGAAGAAACTTACTCATAGTCTCTGATACATTTTTTTCTTCTTTGAGTTCATTTGACTGCATGGACATAATTTTTACCTACTGTAGTTGTAATATTAAAGGGGCCACAGTTTTAAATTCTGCTTTTCTTTTTGTGTCATAAGCATACCCTGTCCCTGTGTTGTTGCTGTATGTTCCTGGTAATTATTTCAAGTGGCTATATAGTATTCTGTGGTGTAATGGGTTGATGGATGAGCATTGCTCACCAGGAGTCATCTTGTGTCTTACTGTGTTGAAACTAGTTCTTGTCTGTGTTTACTATGGAGTCCTTCCTTTGGATGGCAATCTCTACATTTCTGGATAGTTATCCACAGAAAATAATTTAAAAGGGGTTATATGTCTAGAGGGAGTTGGGGACTGCTGCCAGGGGATTATGAGAGTGCTGATTTGGACTTCTCCTCTCAGGCATTGCTTCACTGGTAGCTACCCGGTCATCGAGCCCCTGCTGAAGCACTTCCCGAACATGTCTGTTGGCTTCACTGCGGTCCTGACGTACTCTTCCGCCTGGGAGGCCCGGGCAGCTCTGAAACAGATCCCGCTGGAGAGAATCATTGTGGAAACTGATGCCCCCTACTTCCTGCCTCGACAGGTATGGTGTCTCCAGGCTGAGTTGAGGCCCTGAGGAGAGGGTGGGGAGATGGGTGGTCACCCTTACAAGGTTGGCAGTTGCCAGAGCCCCAGTGATATCCAGGTCCCACCTGGGCTTGTATTGCTCTGCAGAACCAAAAGTCTAGGGGGCTGAGAAGCTGAAGGGTAACCACTCTCTTCCAGGCAGTGCAAAGCCCTACCCTGTAGAGGGTAGTCCAAGGAAGCGTGGGACCCTGCTCACCCAGAGCCCCCCATGACTAGGACTCTCCCTGCACCTGCAGGTAAAGGGGTCTCTACAGGGCAGCCCCAAAGAGGTCCTTACTGGGGAAGGGCCGGGGAGGGAGCTCTGTGCAATGACTGAGCGCAGACGGCTCAGCGATGTTCTGAATGCTTGATATCTTCCAGGTTCCCAAGAGCCTTTGCCAGTACGCCCACCCAGGCCTGGCCTTGCATACCGTTCGAGAGATTGCCAGGGTCAAAGGTCAGCCGCTGTCCCACACCTTGGCTGTGTTGCGTGAGAACACCAGTCGCCTCTACAATCTTTAAGCAGAGAGAGTACAGGAGTCTTCTATAAAAGGTCATAAAATTTACATTTATGTTCTTAAAATCAGGACAAAAGCTTCCTTTGCTGCATTTTATTAATGTAGAGAGTAGCCTGGTTTGTCTTGAGTGAACTTGGTTTGAAACCTTCCTTTTCTCTTCCCTCCAGGACAACCAGTGACCTAACAGCACAGGCTGGGCTTCATCTCTGCCTGGGCCCAGGACAAGGGTGTGTTCAGAGCCCATTGGAATGGAGAAAACCAAGACAGGAAACAGGATGTTTTCCTTGGAACTTCGTCATAAGGCTTTTGATCCTGGCTATGGATTGGGCGCAGGGTGGGGGGTGGGGGGCGGGGGTGCAGTGGAGGGAGGGTGGGGAGCAGGGGTTGCCTTCTGGCCACATGCTTCAGGGCAGTCAAGGAAGAAAGAAAGGTTAGTAGAAGGGTGCAACTAGTTTGCCAATCCAAATCTCTGGTTCTCTGCAGCCTGTGTTTTTGAGCAGTTTGCAAATAAAGTCACCCTCCTACTAGTCTAAGCCCATGTTGGTGTGTAACTTGATTCCTGGTCCTCAGTTCTGAGAATGAGCTCCCAGTGGGAAATCTATGGGGAATTTTCACTGGAGACCGGTGAAGTCATCCCCCTGCAACCAAAGGAGTCATCCCTCCCTCTTCCCTGGATAACTCTTCAGTTTGGCTGTCACTGTTGCTGTCAACTGCATTGGCACAGGTGGAAGGACTCGACTACTGGTTTCACTACTGGGTCCATTGCTAATAGTACAGAGGGGGAAGAAAGGCACTCATTGTCCAGGGAAAATCCTGGCTGATGGAGATCTGGACAGATGGGGGAACTCAAGGAAGAGGCCTCCTTGAGGAAGAGGACCCCCAGAAAGTGTTCCTATTTACTGATGCCCGCAGGGCTGCAGCTCCGCTGTGTTAAACTGATAAAGGTACAGCTGGTAGCAAAAGCTACTTGCTAGTCTGCTGGTAAGGTCTTAGCTGCCCTTTGTTCATTTTTGCCCTCTTTGCCTGGAGCACTGGACCGGAAATACTCATTCTTTTTCATTGCATATGACAGCCTCTTGTGTGTCCCTCTCAAGTTGAGAAGTAAATCAGTTTAATTCTTCAGAGCTCTCCTGGGGTCACTCAGCCATGTTCTGTTGCCTTTGACCAACAAGCAGGCCTGATGTCTGTAAATCTCTCCTCCTCCCTCTGGGCGGGCCGTCTCCCTTACCGCCCTGTGTCCTTTCTCTGTGTTGGAAATGAGAAAGACTCCTTTGACTTTTGAGCAACTGGGTCATCTCAAATTTTAAGCTGTGTTCTGCTCCCTGCTGGTGCCTTGTAAAGGTATATTCATTACAGGCCCTGGAAGGTTACAATGGTCACGGGTACATGTAAGGACACTGCACTTTGTCCAAAAGGATCCTTTACCCCAGTCTGCAGTGAGACAGGCCACTAAATTCCTTGTGTGTTTCTTGGAACCTGGTGGCTTAAATCATAAAATCCATCACTTAATGCTGGATTTCTCTAGGTGATTTTGGAAGGTGCATTTGAGCCTTGTAAGTTAAAAGGAAATGGGCTTAACGTTTTTTCTAGATGGTATTTCTCTTTTGCCCCTGTGCAGTGGGCCTTAATTCCCGTTGGCCTTCCATGGATTAGTGGTGCGTTGTTTGTGCCTCACGTTTGCCAGTGTGGGAATTGGGGCTCGTTCTCCTGGTTGGAAGATTTGGGGGACTGCTAAATATTGCAGAGTGCTTCATCGTCATCCAAATGAACTGCAGCATATCTCTCTTTCATAAGCCCTGTATGTCAATACTGCCTCCATGGGAAACCAGCTAGTCCTGCTTTAAAGGTTAAAGTGACTAAATGGTTATCTCAGAGCCTATGCAGTCTTCCTGCCAAGGTATCGCACAAGGTGCTATACACTTTTATCTCTAGGATTTAGGATTACTTCTGTTCTGTGGCGTTAAAGCTGGTTGGCAATGTTTTTTATGTTGGATGGCTGACTTGATTGTTTTTGCTGTGCTGCTGGAATGCCTCTGTATCACCCTCTCCCTGGCCATCAGTTTCTGGAAATAAAGGGATAGGATTCCCAGCCAACTCCCATGCTCTCCACGTTTGTTTAGAGTTCTCCGAATGAGAACAGTGGTTCCAGTTGTTGGCCGACTTCGAAACCTGCGAACCTAAAGGTGTGACATTCTCGAGTGTACATGTTCCTCTGCAAAATGGCATGAGATAAGACATGGTATCTTCTTAAAAGTTCTGCCTTTGAGCATTAACGTTTATTTTATACTTTGGGAACTCGGAAATACTGCTGCTTCCTAGCCCTTGGAAACTACACAGAGACCGTTCCTTTCTCCAGAGCAGTGCAGTGAGAGGAGGAAGTACCGAGTACACGGGTGTGGTACTGACGAAGCATTTGTATTGTTTTTGGACTATGAAATCCGGTGCCTCTGGTAGGCTGGAGGACATTCTGTTTTACTACGTGCACACGTATTTAACTCCATCCTCTAATTTTGCATGGAGGTATTGTTGAACACAAGTGCACAAGCCAAAAGTAAACCTGGAAAAAGGAAGGCTCTGCTGCGAGAGTGTTAAACAGATTTGAAATCTCGGTTAATGCATCATCTTTGAGACACTGTCTTGACTGCTTTTTCAGCATATCCCTTCACTTTGGTTCAGTTTCCTTTCCGGTTGAACACACAGTTGGCTGTGTCTACTCAGGGATATGTTTGTGGCTGAAAATCTGCTGCTCTTGGTGTTTTATCTTTCTCTCTGTATTGATTGGGATTAATACTGATCATTTGCTGTCAGGACTTCATTTTTACGACACTCATTTTATAAGATAAGGGCAAATGGCCCTGATTCAGTGATGAAACAAACCCAGTCAAATAAAGACGGCAGCAGAATTGCTGATCGGTGGCTAGCCAGTCTTGTGGTCTCTGACGGTGGTCATTTGGCGTGGATTCAGATGAAGGAAGGTAGCTGAGGCTGGGTCTCATTCTTCTGTTTACATGTTGCCATAAGGGAATTTCCGAGCACACACCTGTAAGTGTATGATGAGTTAAATACATGTGCTAGTATACTGATATACTAGGTATATCCTAAAACACAAAATAAGGAGAATTTTTTATAAGGAGAATTTTTTCCTTCAACAGATTTCTTGTTCACGACACGGGTGAATACACTCCTTTCAAAGAACCTTAAGTTAGTGGTATTAAATGTTAGGAATAGGTTTAAGAAGGTGACATAGGACTTTGTTTGAAATGCTACATTTTTTTTAAGTGTGTCCCTTGTTTCCTTTGATGTTTTATTTCTGCCAATTGTTGACTTGAAGCTGACCCAGTGTATTATGAAAGAAAATAAAAAAACAGAAATAAGCCCTGGCCGGTGTGGCACTGAAAGGTTGTTGGTTCGGTTCCCATCAGGACACATGCCTGGGTAAGGGGCATGCAGGAGGGCAGCGTATCGATATATCACCCTCACATCAATGTTTCTCTCCCTCTCCCTTTTTCTAAAAGTCAATAAACTTTTTTTTTTAAATTTTACTTTAAAAAACAAAAGAAATCTCTTGGACCCTAGGCAGCTGGGCAAGAAAACACCATTGAGAGCAGTAGTATTTGAAAAGCATGGACTCAACACTACAGCTCTGGATATGAGTGGGCAATGTATTTGCTGTGCGGCCATGGAATTTTAATTTCTCCAAATTTCAGTTTCCTCCCTCCTAAGTAGCTTGTGAAAATTAGCTGAAATTGCAATAATTACAGGTATTTAGAACAATGCCTGGTGCACAGCAGGGAGGAAGTAAGTGAGGATTGTTAGAATAGTTGAATGCCTACCATGTGCCAGGTGCCCTTGAGGGAGATACTGTGTTCAGTCTCTATAGTAACCCAGGGAGGTGGGTATTTTAATTTGAGGAATCTGAGGAATTCAATATTTTGGTTTGGATCAGAACTGGTATTCAAAATCATAGCTCCTAACCACATCATGCTGCCTGCCCCAGGTAAGATTGGGCTTAAAATTTTTTAAATTTAATGAATGATGCAGGTAAGTGGTAGAGAATGCTTTTGAGTCCTTTGAGAGAAAAGTAAGTCTTTGTTCTTTTGATGGGGTGGAATTGACCAGCATTCCCACCAGGGCCTGGCACACATCTCCCTCCTCACCCCCGTACTCTCCCACCCTGAGCACCACCCCCAGTCCAATCCATGGCTGCTGCTTCCCCAGATCAGCAGCTGGGTCAGTTTGATCACACCTGGGCCTTACATCCTCTCTGGCCATTAAGAAGAGGGGCGTGGGGGTGGATAGTGTGATCAGGGTTGTGCCCCTACTAAACAATGGTGCTGGGATAGGGCTAAGTTTTAGGAGAGCATGTCGGTCTAGGCCTCAGTACTGGGGAGCTGGGTCTTAGGGGCTGGCCATCTGGGGGCTGTAGAAGGTCATTTCCCTCTATTTCTATTTCTTTTCTTCTACTCCCCCCACTTAGTTCACTTGTTCTCCAATACCTTAAGTTCCTTTAATGGTGATAACATGTTTCAGTCTGTGGCTTAGATGAAGATGCTTTTGAAAGTAAGGACTCAGTGAATGAAGTCTCTGTAGTATAATCAGGTGTCTGATCATCTGAGAGATGGGAGTGTGTGTGTGTGTGTGTGTGTGTGTGTGTGTGTGTGTTGGTGGTATGCCATCTGCCCAACAGATGGACATCGAGTTGACAAATAGAGCTGGGACTGAATCGATGGGGAAGAAGGTAAGAGGGAAGAAACAGGACACCTTTTTCATGTGTTCACAGTTTTGTTGAGGGTCCCACCTAGCCAGGTCTCAATTTTTTTAAGTTTCATAACAATCGACACCTATTCTATGCCAGGTGGGCCAGCTGAGCTGTGTAGTGTGCTGTGCTATCTGAATAGAGTCCAGTCGCTTCTAAGCTGTGTTATATAAACCATTTAATAACCTGGGATCTTGTTGAAGTGCAGATCCTGATAGAGCAGGGCGGGGATGGGGCCTGAGATTGCATTTCTAAGGAATTCCCAGATGACCCACAAACCACGTGCCGTTCCTGGATGATGGATGGCAGTTGGGTTTCGGTGTGCCTGCTGAGTCTGCCAGTGGTTGGTACCTATAGGGCTGTGCCTTGAGTGCCAGGTGGCCAAAATTTTACTTAAGACACTTGGCTTCTAGAGCCCTCTGATTTTTCCAGTGTGGGTGTTACCCCAACTCTACAGAGGGGTGTCCTGCATATTTCTAGGGGTTCATGTGTCTGACTGGGCAGGTTGGCAGTGCATCTCTTTGGAATCTCCCTCCTTGTTTGCTTTTCTCTCCTATCGATTCACTCAACCATCATCACCAGCTCTCAGAAATCAGTTTGCATGTTTATGCTAAAGTGTAAGTGACTGATAGGTGACATTTCCTCCTAGGAAGGCTGGTGTCTTCCCTGGAATTAAATTGTAGAACTGAAAGACCAAGGTTTGATTCACTGTGAGCTGGAGTTGGCGATGTTTGGGGACAATTACTGGGTGTCACTGAAGTAAGGAAGGCGATGGCCTGCCTTGCCATGTGAGTTGATACCTGCTTTGCTGGGCTTCTCAATAGTGAACAGAGAGGAAGCCCTTCCCAGCAGTGGCCAGAAGTCATTATTATCACCTACTTAATAACTTCACATTCATGCTTTGGCATTCCCAGAATCCTGGTCTGATCTTGAATGTGTTCAGTGGATTTTAGCTCTGATAACCTCACCTGCACTTTCTTTGTCCATACAGTCTTTTTTTTTTTTTTTTTTTTTTTTATATTTCAGAGAGGAAGGGAGAGGGAGGGAGAAACATCAATGATAAGAGAGTACCATTGATCTGCTGCCTCCTACATGCCCTCTACTGGAGAGTGAGCCTGCAACCTGTGCATGTGCCCTTAACAGGAATTGAACCCAGGACTCTTCAGTCCACAGGCCACCGCTCTATCCACTGAGCCAAAACAGCTAGGGCCACACAATCCTTCTTGATGATAAGCTCTCACTGCAGCTTTGCACTTTGATATTTAAAGGAATTGTGTCTCCTTTCTCCCCTCCCCATCCTCTTCCCTTTCCCCTTTCTTTGTCTCTCTCCTCCACTCCTCTTCTGCCATACATACCCCAGTCGTCTATCAGCTTGTATGAGTTGGTCTAATTTGGTTTTCTCAGCATGCACCTGCCTTGCTTCCTATCCTTTTCTCCTTTCATTGACCATAGAACAATTTTTTTCCCCCGTGAAATTTTCCTCCTCGGTGAAATAATTCTCATCATGAACATTTAGCACACAGTTTGAAGTTTATTCAGCTCCTAAGTTGGAGAAGCAGTTGGAGAAGCAGTCTAAATGCCGCGGCGAGCACTGCTAAGGCCAGTAGGAAAACAGGCGGGCCGGGCTTGTGGAAGGTCACTTGTCTGCTGGGGCCTCTGAAAAGCAAGGGGAGATGTCAAAATTCTGTCTGCTCTCTGGCCAGCGCCATCAAAGATGGTTTTCTTCACGGTGGTGACTAGTGAGGTGGGTCTTGCAATGGGGGGGAGCCTTGGCCTGTGACTTGGGCAAGTCACCTAAAAGCTCTGAGTCTCCGTCTTGTCTGCATGGAGGGGTGAGTGCGGTTCTCTGCCTGATGGTGGGTGGGGTAGGTGAGGCCATGCTGGGGGCGGAAGTGCTTTGCAGGTTGTAAGGTGCTTCCGGTGGCCTCCTCGATCAGGAGAAAGTTAAGTGGTATCTTTACAAGGTAAGAGGGGATTCAAATAAAAACAACAAAACCTTCGCTTAACTGGCTGCGGAGTCCATTCTGAATGCAATTGTAGCACTAATTATTTTGTTTGTGAAGTAAAATTATACAGTAAAGGTGGTGTAATACCAAATAATTTTATACTCTATTATGGGTGTTAGCTCCATTTTATGGTTAGGAAAATTGGGGTTCACTGGGGCTTCAAAGCTAGTTCTCGGAACTTAGTACCCTCTGAAGACAAAAACGGCTCAACACCCTCCGAGCCACTCACGTACCAGCCCAGCCCACTCCTGCCGATATTTGGGAATGAGGAATTGGAAGCTCTTTGAGAGGAAGGGGTCAGGGAAGAACTGTTCTTGTGTCATCCATGATGTGGGCTCACATTTGGGACTGAGAAAACGGGATTGACTGGACCCGGGCAGGGACTTACCGTTGGCTTCTTCCCAAAACAGGTCCTGCAGAAACTTCCCCAGGGCCTGTCCGTGCCAGTGGGACTGGGCCCCCGACAGCTTGATCCCAACGTCAAAGGGGGCGTTGAACTAGGAGGACAGTAGGGAGAACCCAGGAAATGTCAGAGGTTACAGCCTCCCACACCCCCGCCCCCAACACTTCCATCCCAAAGGTCAGGGCGATGGAAGGGCCTGTGGACCCAGCGGGCGCCACTGAGGGGCAGCTCAGTCACTCTCCTTTGTAGGCCCATTCTTACTGCCCCCTCCATCTTGAGGCTCACCTGACTCTTCCTTTACTGCTAAGGTAAGAGCTGTGGTGTCCCCGAGCAAGCCCCTCTCCCTGCCGTGCAGTTTTCAAAGACGTAGAATCTCAGGTCCTGGCAGGGAGGTTTGGGGGAGTGCACACCCGGTGTACATAGCACCAGCCTGGGTGATGGTCGCTGCCCCTCTCCTTTCCCAGGGCCTCTTCCTCCTACGCACAGGCCTCTGGTCAGTGCAGTCAGGAAGCTGACCTTTTCCTAGAGCTAAGTTCGTTCCCTGCTTTAGTTTCTTTCCTCTGCAGGGAGAGTACACCATTTCCCCTACTTGGCAATTTTTGAGATGATTTACTATCACTAAGAGCTGTGTTTGCAGCCACATCACTGTCTTCTCCCTTGAGACGCAGACTGTGTCTGTCTCTGTTCACCCAGTTGCTGCCTCAGCACCTGGCCAGGCTGGGACACCTCCATGGGTCGGTGGAGGACTCGATGCTGGAAAGGACCCCTGGTCATTGGTCCTTCTGCCCGCTGCCCTCCAGACAGGAGGTGTTACCCCATTTTCAGGTAAAGCAGCCAGAGAGGTTGAAGGGCTTGTGTGAGGCCTCTGAGGAGTTGGTGGCCATGGGCGAGGATGTGGATTCTTAAGTCCGCCAGCCCCACGCTGAGTGAGGCCACTGTCCAGCCCTCGTGCCTCCCCTCCAGGCAGGTGCCACCGTGACTCCTATTTTACAGGTGAGCAAACATGCTCAGAGAAGTTATTAAAGCAACAAATGGCTGTTTGTTCCTTTAAAACAATTTACCTTCCCCACTTGTCTCCACGGTGAAAGCGGAGGGCGTGGGGGTGGCATGGTTGATTTTTTAGGGAACTTGGACCCTCCTGTTCTCCCTTCAGTAACTTTTCAAAGATCCATCCTCCCCACCCCGCCGGGCCAGTGTGGGTGTCCCGGGGTGAGGGGAGCCCTCGGTGGGAGGGGCTCCGGAGGGTGTTGCTGGCCGCCTGCCCCCCCACCTTCTCGGCTACACCACCTCCCAGGCAGTTCAGACCTCTGGTTCTAGCTGAGGCGGCATGGCCATTTCTGAGGCCGGCCTGCATGGAAACTGGAAACTTCCAGCACTGCCTTGAGTCAGCCGCCCCTGAAACCTCTTCCCATCTGGGCTAATCCAGAGCGACCCTAGCTGGGTGAGTACCCGCCGGCGAGAGCTGGCATCTCACAGGACAGTTCCCTGGTTTTGGCTGAGAGCGGGGATGTGGCAGGTGAGGATGTCGCAGGTGTTCGGAGGAAGTGCCTGAGGACACCGCTAGGTTTACAGAGGGTCAGACAGAGCCTGGGCCGGGAGCTCATCCCTGCAGGAGAGCGGCTGGTGGGTGGAGAGAGACCAGGCCAGGAGAGGATGGGGACTGACGTCAGCCCTGACCTTCAGCCCACCGCTGCCGCCCTCTGCCTGTGGCATCTCAGCCAAGTGCGTTGTCTGAACTAGTCGGTGAGGGCAGTGATACCAGCTCTCAACAGCTCAGCAAGTGCCATGGTTGATATTATTACCATCCAGAGAGTTTTGGTTTCTCTGCATGGAGGTGTCTGTTGCCACCTAAAGGCTTGTCAGTACCATCCGCCAACCACACAGCCAGCTTTCCAGGAAAGTTACCTAGATCACCCTATAAAACCCATTTCTCTCCCCTCCCCCTTCCTGGTCCTCCACTTATCTCTAAACTGTTTCCTTATCTCGGGCAAGATGAGCCAGAGCCAGGGCCAGCCTGGCTGACCTGTCCTCACCCACAGATGGGCTTTAGGCAGAGGCCCTGGGCCCCGCAGCAGCCCCTGCCGTCCAGGGTGCGGTCTGGGCGCACTGCAGCCCAGGTGAGGGCTGAGGCCCAGGGCCAAGCAGAGCGCTTTCTGTGGGGAAACACCTTTAGTCTGACCGGCTGTCTTCATGGGGGTCTTTGGGCACCCCATTTGCTGCACCCTGCTAGCGTCCCCTTCTCTCCTCTGCTCACAGTTCCTGTATGTCCCTTCTGTGGTAGCAACGTTACTTCTCTTAGATGTTTGCCTCTTCAGGGCAAAGACCACATAGAGCACAGTGCAGTAAGCTACTTTCATGCTGTAAGTGGGACCCTGTTCATGCCATCACCCCGTCTCCCCTCCCTCCCCCCTCCCCCGCCACAAAAGCATAAAACGGCAGAGGAACCCACCCGAACTTCCAGCTCATCCTCTGCCCCTTCCTCCTGATTTCCGTCTTCTGGGCGGAGCCAGCCTTCGAGCTCTCGCTCTCGGGGCTGCAGTTTGGCTGGTGGTTTCTTGGACTCCTTTCTCTGCTGGAGGGAGAGAGCTTTCTTTAGGCCCCTGTCCTTCCTGAGCAGAGGCGGGCCTGAGTCAGACAGGGTCGTCCTCTGTGTTCCCACACAGCTGGCTGCTCTGTGCGGGCCCGGGGTGAGATACCGGCAGAAGGGGGCCTGGTGGGGAGTCTCACCTGCACTTTCTGGTGTTCGGGGCTTAGGAAGCTGGAGCCGGCCATGGCCCAGTCCACGCAGAGCACACTGAGGAGCAGCAGGCTGCACAGGGTCCTCGGGGACGGCATGGCCTCGGCTGGGTGGGGACAGAGGGGCTAAGAGGAGAGAGAGATTCCAGGTAACATGCCCCCCCACCCCCGCTTCCCCGGCCCTCCCAGCGCCTCAGAATGCAGGTGGGAGCCTAGCAGACAGGGCAGGGACTTGGACCTGGGCTGGCAGGAATGAATGGAAGGATGTGCGTGTTCTCTTCCAAGACTGTCCAGGGCGGAACCCCTGGCAGTGGGTTCCCCATGTGTTTGCTCAGCCCCCAAGGACCTCGTTCCAGGTTTCCGCGGGTGATGAAGCTGCCCAGCACGTCCCCAGGAGACCTGAGCCCAGAGATGTCAGCAACCCGGCTGCCCCAGCTGTGCCGCCTCCCCTTCATCCAGTGATAAACCCATAAGCAAACCCACAGTGAGCGAGGGTGCCTACCTGGGCTCCTGGCGGAGGTGGTGCCTGGTGGCTGGCCGGCCCTTATATAGGAAGCCTGTGTTTGCTTTAAACCACAACCTCGTCTCGGGGCAGCCTGGTTTCCAGGGGCTGTTTACATTCCTTGGGTCCTCTGGGTAGAAATCAACAGTGGAGGTCAGATGCCCAAGAGATTGTTGGGTTGGCGTGGAGTGGCCATCTGCCCCAGCTTCCACAGATGCCCGGCCCTGGTTTGGGGGGGCGGGGGGAAGCTGGGGGGTCCGGGCTGGCTTTGCTGCTCTGACCTTGGCTCCTTTCTGATGAGATCGGGTGCATTCAGGGTGGAGTGGCCGTAGACTTCACTCTGCTTTCTGAAGCCCCCTCTGCCCTGGATAGAACGAGTTTACCGTCACGAGCTGCTAAGAGATCTCTAGTCCTGCACCTGCAGTTCTGTGACCGACGCTGCTCTGGCTCCCACCAGCCTCTGGAGCACAAGGGCGCCTGGCTCATGAATTGTCCTGCCTTCCCACGAGGGAAGTCGCATCTCACAGACAGGAATCTGCTGGGAGGGTCAGCAGCATGAGCTCCTAACTGTCCTCCGAGGAGCAGGTGGAGGAGTCATTTTAGTCCGTGGCTAAACCTCAGTCTTTCCTCCTGCGTGGAGCACGATGACTACAGCCTTAGTGTTTCCTAACGTGTGGGCTTGCCTCCCCTCCCAGCCCGGTTCGGAGAGGGAACAGAACGGATCTGGAGGCAGAAGGGCTGTGACCTGCTACTGGCGCAGGTAACTTCTCACATTGATCGGCGTCAGGCAGGTCACTGGTCCCCTGAGTGGCTGAGGGCTAATGAGGTTGTGTGTGTGAAATTTATAATCTGTAAGGCAGCAAACACGACAAGTGTTTTTGTATCAGGCCCAAGACCTTGTGCCAAGCATGTGCAATGGTCACACGTTCTTGGATGAAGATTAACAGTAACCTTAACCTGTCCAGTGCTTCATCCCATTGGATGCCCAAGCAGTGATCCTAGGCTGAATGCAATGTCTGTACCAAATGTCAGCAGGAGCTCACTCCAGGCCGGACTCCATGCAAGAGGCAGATGGTGGCAGTGGAGCAGGCTCTGAAGGGAGGGCATTGCTGCGAGCAGAGTGGCATGAGTGATAGGAGCAAACAGGCCTGGTGTAGGCATGGGACAACGGTGAGAGGGCTGGGTGGCTTGGAGGATGGTGGTGGGAAGAGGCCAAAGAAAGGCTTCGAAGGTAGAGGGGTCAGGCTCTGCACTGCCTGAGCTCCTGGCACACGGAGTGGCTGTATGTGTAGGAGGACGCCCTCTGAAGGGTTTTAAGAGGGACAGGGCACAGAATAATGAGCGAGTTGGAAAGACCTTAAAGACTTGGGATGCTGGATCTTTTATTTCACTGGAAGAAAATAAAACTCCCCTGAAAGCCACCCAGGCATCAGTGACAATGCTGGGACTCAGCTCCTGGCTCCTAATCCATGCTCTCTGCTTCCAGGAGAGTCTGTGCTCCACGCGGGGTGCCCTGGAGCAGAGGACCAGTTGATGGTTGAACGCCACCGGCTTCAGGGGGCACAGGAGCCATGCAGAGACTTTAGGGACAGTGGAGGCACAGGAGGGGCTGGACAGCCTCCCAGTAGAATGTGGGGGGCTGGGTTCCTCCTGCTGAAAAACATCTCGGCACCAGCTGGGTGGGGGCTCCCCTGACAGCCACCTGAGCTTAGACCTCTTGGCTGCAGGGCCCGAGGCTGCAGGAGGAGACCGGTGGGGAGAAGACCCAGGGCTTGTTCACAGCCACCCTCGCCCCCACCGAAAGGAAACAACCCGAAACCCCAACGAGGGTGACCAGGCACCAGCTGAGACACGGACCTCTGCTGTTTCCTGACCCCGGAGGCCTCCGGAGGCAGGAGCCGCTGTGTTGATCTTAGATAACGGCGCCAGCGAGCAAACAGCACTGACTGGTATCTTTGGGAAACAGAGAGGTGGCCTGTGTGACGGAAACACCCCGACCACATACCACAGAGGACGCCGGTGGGAAGGAAGGAAGACCTGACGGATGGCAGAACCGCTGAGGGAGGGCAGTGGCGCCCAGAAAAGTCTCTCTGCCCACTCACAGCTGGGGAGTGGGGACAGACCTGGTGGGAACTGCGTGCAGATCTGGACCAGGAAGACCATAAACTTGGGGAAAGAGCCAGCTTCCCTGGCTCACTTTCCTCCTCATCCCTTCCAGGGGGGTAATTCCAGGCCCAGATTGGCACCTCCCTGTACTCTCAGTAGGTGCTCTGCAGGCTTCCTCTGGGGAGCTGGCTGGCTGGTGGCTTTCTTCCCATTGCAGGACCTCAGGGCCGGCTTAATGAATGGAGACGCACTCGCCACTTAATTGTTATGTGTACTTGGTGTCTGAGAACAAATTAACTTTATATACTTTCCACTGTAATTTCATTTGTGCTAATAATTAGTTGGCTTAGCAAGCACTTTTTTCATTGATTAGGCTGAACGTTGGTCTGAATGAGGCAGGTTCTGGGCTGTAGGAAGAGGTGTTATTTTCTGATATGGGGCTTTTCGGTGGCCGTTTTCTCCTAGTTCTGGCTCCCATAGCCTTTAGAGCAGTATTGTTCAATAGGTTAGCTCAAACAAGAGCCTCTGTGTGACTTTAAATTTCCTAGTTTTATTTTTTTTTAAAAAAAATATGTTACTGATTTTTTACAGAGAGGAAGGGAGAGAGAGATAGAGAGCTAGAAACATCGATGAGAGAGAAACATTGATAAGGCATTTAACCCTGACTTTCTGTTTTAAAAAGATATTTTATTGATTTCAGAGAGGAAGAGACAGAAACATCAATGATGAAAATCATTGTCTGCCTCTTGCACGTCCCCTACTGGGGATCGAGCCTGCAACCTGAATCGAACCCAGGACCCTTTAGTCCACAGGCCGATGCTCTATCCACTGAGCCAAACCGGCTGGACCCTGGCTTTCTTTTTACTAAATCTTCAAAGTCCAGTGCATTGTATTGGTACCTCACACAAGTCAGACTAGCCACATTGCAGCCGCAGTAGCTGCTGTGGCTACGGCCACTGCTCTGGACAACAGTTCCAGGTGCTCATGGGTGCCCTCTTCAAGCTCCCGTAGCCGCAGCCATGCTTGCCCGTTCATCCCCTGCCTTCCACACCAAGCCTCTCCCTCTGGGCCTTCCCTGTTCTGCCATCGTGGGGCTGGGGCCCCAACAAGTCTCTTTCGTATCTTCCGTCTTTCTCTTCCATATCTTCTTCCCTCAGTGAGGCCAGGTCTCTAATTCTGGAAAAGTCTGTTTTACACTCCCCCCCCTTTCCTCATGCTACCACTTCCGGGCAGAATTCCCTCTATGGATCCTGTTCCTGACTGTGCTCTGTTCCCTCAAAACCCTTCAGCTCCACTCTCATCTCCACCCAGAGTTGCTGGTGCAGCCTTAGCCTAGAGACCACTGCACATGGTGAGACCGTCAGGGGCGTGCAGTGTCGCCTGCTGGTGCAGACCTCGCCGGGCTGCACTGGTGCCATGGGGGAAGCGGATCGTTTTATGCTGAAGCTTCTGATTCTGACCCATGTGGAAGGAAGATAAACTATTTTAACTTGCTTTGGAAAATATCAAACATGAAAAAAAAAAAGAGTAATATAATGAGTCTCCAAGCGTCTACCATCAACTTCAACATTTATTAACATCTTGCTTCTTCTATTTAAACCCCACACTGTTTTTGCCCTTTTTTAAAAAAAAAATATTTTTTTACAGAGGGGAAGGGAGAGGGACAGAGAGCTAGAAACATCAATGAGAGAAACATGGACCAGCTGCCTCCTGCACACCCCGCATTGGGGATGTGCCTGCAACCAATGTATAATACATGCCCTTGACTGGAATCGAACCTGGGACCTTTCAGTTCGCAGACTGACACTCTATCCACTGAGCCAGATTGGTTTTGGCTGTTTTTGCCTTTTTTTTTTTTTTTTTTTTTTTAATGTAAAAGCAAATCCTAGTAATCATGTAATTTCAGCCTTAAAAACTTAGGTATATGTTTTAAACAGGTAAAATACATAGTTGTCTTATTTGAAGCTGGATCCAAACAAAACCCACATTTGATTGATGTATGTCTTAAGTCTCTTTTAGTCTACAATCTTTCTTACCTGTTCATCCTCTCTTTCATCCCAAGTAATTTATTATATTTATAAAAATATATATTTTTATTGATTTTAGAGAGGGAGAGAAGGAAGAGAAACATAGATTGGCTGCTTCCTGCATGCCCCCCATTGGGGATCAAGCAGTGCCCTGACCATGAATCAAGCCTGTGACTCTCAGGTGCACAGGACTATGCTCAACCAACTGAGCCACACCAGCAGGGCCCACGCCATTTATTAAACAACAAAAAACAAAGCAGGTTATTTGTCCTGAACAATTTCCCGCCTGCTCTTTGCTGATCGCTTCCTTGTGGTATTACTTCCTTGTTCCTCTCTCCCCTGCTTTCCGTAAACTGGTAGTTCTATCTTCAGATGAAGTTTTGTTAGGACTTAACTTTTACTTTTGGGGAGAATACTTCATTGTTGGTGTTATGTACTTATTATTGAATTCCATTACAGCATAC